TTTATATATTTAAGATAAAAATTAGATTAATATTATATTAATTTTAATGTGAAAGTTAATTATAGAAGAGAAGGTAGTTCATCCAGCTGTGCAATTCTTCTCTTCATAAAAATAAAATAAATAAAATTTTAAACCAATCCTTTTAGTTAAAAGAGGTGACGTACCAATGGCAAAAGTGATTCAAAATCCCTTTTAAGTCTTGTGTTCGAACCTCGAAGGCGACAACTTTAAGAGAAATTTTCCAAAAGATTTAAACCGTCCGCTTGAACGGTTTAATGGTTTGTATCGGCCCGAACGGTTTTATCGATTTTGAATGGTTCAATTACTTTATCAGTTCTAAACTTTGACCTGAGCCGTTTATTGTATTGGGTACCGATTCAACCGACCGGTCCAATCCGGTTCTAAGCCTATGCATTCTATCCCCCATGACATTCAGAATCTAGTTGGTATTATGGCATCACACTTGTTCATCCTCCTGATGCTTCAGGTTTTTCTTGTTTCTACTTCTGTTTCTTCCACTCTTTCTGTCTTCCTGCTAAACCTTATGTGTTCTCAACAGAAGTTATTCTTACAAATTTCTCAATCTTGAAAAGTCTTTACAAATTTGGTCGCATTGTTACCGTCCCTGTCCTATGTATGCACTCCTAGTCACGGTATGTCGTGAGGTCCTTTTTATAATCTGGGGACTTCTAACTTAAGTCATCTTGTGGGACAGAACATGTATAAAAGATTCCATCTAGTATTGTGCATGGGGATTTCTTAAGCTTGGCTTGATTAGTCTTTGCAAATTTGTCCAACCAATGTTACCGGAATGAGTACGTTATGGTGACATTATTGCCTTTTATTTCTTTTTCTCTTTTTTTTTTTTTTCCTTGGCCTGAGTGACATTATTATTTAATCTTCTGCCATAACAAATGATTAAATGTATAAAATGAGCTGACTAACTTCTGAGCATGTTTTGTCAAATGGATCAATAAGCATGGTTATAGAAGAACAGCAGTTGAGTAAGTATACTTTTGTAAATGATGGCTTCATTTCAGCAATACAATCGAGTTTGAATTAGAGTATCCTAATGGCTATCTTTTAGGACAGAAAGGAGGTGTCCACCACGAGATAAAGTTCCAAAAAAGGATCATTAATAATTACTTCTTTGGCCTTAGTATATTTATAGCATGTTTAAATTGAGAAGAATGGAGGGGAGGTGAGGAGAGGGAAATTTTATTTCTCCATTCTCCTCTCCTCTCTTCTCCCCATTTAGATAGGTTAACAAATTAAGAGAACAAAAAAAAACAAAAAAAAAGGAAATTTTTTATATTTTCTCCTTTCCAATTTTTTTGATAACTAAATAGTAAAAAATTTTACCCCTTCTTCTCTTTTTCTTCATTCCCCTCAACCCAAACATGCAATCAGCATTGGATAGTTAATTAAAAGACAACATGCTTTTAGGAGAAATCATTAGGTTGATATTATAATAAAAACACAATCGAAAAAGAAAAACCAAGACAAATAAAAATGTTTTTCATTACACAAGACTCAAGGAGACATGCATAAATTAGTCCAGACAGTGATCTAGGTGTGTCTTTAACTTCTTAGATTGGGTTATTAACCCTGTTGCATGTCTTCAAATTAAATATGGCAGGAAGAGAACGTAGCGTCCAAAGGTTCCAAACGTTCAAAAAAAGGAAACAGACGCTGCCTCAAAATCAGGAGTAAGGGATGGAGGGGCCTGGTGGGTATGCACAAATTGACTTGCATTTTTTTAATGTAAAAGCATACAGTTGGTTCATTAAGGCTTCATTGAGCAGCTATTTGACTGTAGATGTTCTGATCTACTGATGATCTACTGGGTTAGTTAAGCTGTAGTCAATGGATGCTCAATGACAGTTTCTTTTTGTATTAAGGGCAGGAGTATCCTTGTACTCCATTTAATAAAATTCATTTTGCTGTGCAAAAAAAAAAAAAAATCATCTTCTAGGACAAAACATTTGTAACTTGCAAGAGATTCCATTACTGAAGTACCTGTACAAATTAGTCTTCTCGTGGGGACACCTGGCTGGTCCAGTATGAGATCTTTTCACTACACAAAGTAGCTAGTGCTGAATTGATGGATGACCTTAATTAAGTCATCATGTAGGACAAATTATTTATAGACGACTCTTTTAGGTATTTTCTTTTACTTTTACGTCGAGGATATTGCTTTTTATAGCTACAAATTGTTAATTACCTAATACAACTTACAATATGCTCTAGAGGAAAGGAAAATGTTAGTATGTAAACAAAATCGAACAAGAAAAATTAAGAAAATAATGTTATTAATCCAAAAACAAAAAAAATGAAGGAAGAACTGCTAATGGAAAATTACTAATTTGTATCACCCATTTTCCACCAACTGGAACTGTCCAAAAATTCATTTGTGACTTTATTTGTGTTGAATTATTCAACTGCTCAATTTTTGTTTTCTTTTCCTTGGACGAAATGCATAAAATTGAAAAATGATAAGGAAAGGATTAAAATTAACAATGACTTGTGCTAGCAGACATTCATCAAGTTGTGAGAATTTTGCCAAGAAACATTTTTAGTTGTATAAATACCTGTCAATGCAAGCCTATGCATTCTATCCCCCATGACATTCAGAATCTAGTTGGTATTATGGCATCACACTTGTTCATCCTCTTGATGCTTTAGGCTTTTCTCGTTTCTACTTCTGTTTCTTCCACTCTGTCTTTCTCTCCCAATCAAACAGAAACTCTTCTCAAATGGAAAACCAGTCTTGACAACCAAAGCCAAAGCTTACTCTCATCTTGGGTTGGGGACTGTCCTTGCAAATGGGTTGGAATTGCTTGTAATAAAGCTAAAAGCATCATCAGCATAACCATTCATGATTATGGTCTCAGAGGTACAATTCATGACCTTAACTTCTTTGCATTCCTGGACCTAATGTAGCTCAATCTTAGCAGCAATAATTCACTTCATGGGGCAATTCCTTCCCACATTGTTAACTTGTCCAAACTCAATTATCTTGATTTGTCTTATAATAACTTTTCGGGAAACATTCCTTTTGAGGTAGGATTGCTTAAATCTCTCACTGAACTTGATTTCTCTAATAACGGTTTCTTTGGCTCAATCCCTACTTCCATAGGAAACTTGAGCAACCTGTCTATTCTTGCTCTCTATGATAACATGCTTTTTGGCTCAATACCTTCTGAGGTAGGATTGCTTAAATCTCTCACTAAACTTTTGTTGTATGAGAATAGTTTCTTTGGCTCAATTCCTACTTCCATAGGAAACTTGAGCAAGCTATCTATTCTTGCTCTCTCTGAAAACATGGTTTCTGACTCGATACCTTCTGAGGTAAGATTACTTAAATCTCTCACTGAACTTGTTTTGTATAATAATAGTTTTTTTGGTTTAATCCCTACTTCCATAGGAAACTTGAGCAACCTATCTATTCTTCGTCTCTCTAATAACATGCTTTCTAGCTCAATACCTTCTGAGGTAGGAATGCTTAAATTTCTCACTGAACTTGATTTGTTTAATAACAATTTCTTTGGCTCAATCTCTACTTCCATAGGAAACTTGAGCAACCTATTTGTTCTTGCTCTCTATGATGACAAGCTTTCTAACTCAATCCCTTCTGAGATTGGATTGCTTAAATCTCTCACTAAACTTTATTTGTATAATAACTATTTATCCGGGCCTATTCCTTTGGAAATGAATAACCTTATCCTTCTTAAAGATTTATCTTTGTGTAATAACAAACTTAGTGGCCATTTACCTGAGAATATTTGCCTTGGGGGAGTTCTCACACGCTTGTCAGCACATAACAATCATTTGACAGGTTTAATCCCGAAAAGTTTGAAAAACTGCAATAGTTTATTAAGAGTAAGGCTTGGAGGGAACCAACTTGAAGGGGATATAACAAAGGCTTTCGGAATATATCCCAAGTTGGATTATATTGATGTCAGCAATAACAAGTTGTATGGTGAGCTTTCTCCAAATTGGGTTCAATATCATAATCTCACAAGCTTGAAGATCTCTAACAATAACATCTCTGGTAAGATAGCTCTTAAGCTAGCTCAAGCCACTCAATTACAACGCCTCGATCTTGCTTCAAATCAGCTGAATGGGGAGATTCCTAAGGAATTATGCAACTTGACATCATTGGTCTATCTCTTTCTAAACGATAACCAACGGTTTGGTAGAATCCCATTAGAAATAGGACAGCTACTCAATTTGCAACAACTCAGTTTGTCCGCAAACAAATTGAACGGAGCAATTCCAATACAACTTGGAAAATGCTTCAGGTTATTGAGCTTGAATTTGAGCAACAATCAACTTGGGGGAAGTATTCCATTTGAAATAAAGAACATATTTGCCCTTGAAACTCTTGATTTGAGTTGGAATATTCTAATGGGAGAGATTCCACCAGAGCTTGGAAGATCCCAAAGGTTTGAAACACTTAATCTTTCTCACAACATGCTCTCTGGACTCATACCTCCTACTTTTGATAAAATGTTGAGCTTGACATACGTCAACATCTCCTACAATCAGTTGGAGGGCCCAATCCCTCACATCAAAGCCTTACTTGACGCCCCATTTGATGCTCTTGAAAACAATAAAGGCCTTTGTGGCAATGCCTTTGGCCTAATGCCTTGTCCATCCAAAAGCCACAAGAGAAGTTCAAGCGGACTTGTGATTTTGATAGTTGTACCTGTTTTGGGCGGCTTGCTACTATTGCTTATCTTGGTGTGGTGTTTACTTCTTGTTCATTGCAAAAAATATAAGCCAAGAAAGAGTCAATATCAAGATATTTTTGCCATATGGGGACATGACGGTCAAATCCTCTATGAAAACATTCTTGAAGCTACAGAGCAATGTAACTCCAATTACTGCATTGGCTCAAGAGGATATGGAAATGTTTACAAAGTTGTTTTGCCTACAGGTCGAGTTGTTACCGTAAAGAAACTTCACCCTCAAATGATAACGAGACCATCAATTTAAGAGCATTTGAAAGTGAAATTCGTGTTTTAACAGAAATACGACATCGCAACATTGTTAAGTTGTATGGTTTTTGTTCTAATGCGGAGCACTCATTGCTAGTCTATGAGTTTGTGGAAAGAGGGAGCTTGAAAATGGTTTTGAGCAACCCAGAAGAAGCAGTGAAGTTGGATTGTGATAAGAGGTTGAACATTGTTAAAGGATTAGCTAGTGCCTTATCTTACATGCACCATGATTGCCCATCACCAATAGTCCACCGCGATGTTTCCAGCAACAATGTTCTGCTTGATTTGGATTACGAAGCTCATGTCTCTGACTTTCTATAGCTTTGGGGTGGTAGCAATGGAAGTAATCATAGGAAGGCATCCAGGTGATATCATTTCGAATTTATGGACATCGAATGGCCAAAAGATGCTGCTGAAGGATGTTATAGACCAGCGTCTTCAACCTCAAAGGAGGAACCGAGTAGCTGAGCAAGTGGTTTCAACAACAAAGCTAGCCTTTACATGCCTGCATGTTAATCCCCAATTGCGGCCCACCATGCAGCAAGTTTATCAGGCACTTACTAGTGGTCGACCATCTCCATTGCCAAAGCCATATTCAATGATGAGTTTAGGGGATTTGATTGGAGATGGACATGGAGTGCAGAACTGAGTTGCTGATGATTTGGATTTTCGTCGTATTTCTAGGTATATATATGTCTATCATTTATCCTTTTTAATATGTCTACCCTTTTCTCTCAACAATAACTATTTCAGTGCTTTGTTTGTTGCTCTCTTCATGAAGCATTTATTAATCTGTATTCACAGGCTGCTATTTACTCATGCAATGGAATTGTTCCATATCCGTATTACTGGTTGCCAGGACTTGCAAAGAGCTTGAAGAAATGCTGATAATTAGCCTGAAGATGAATGGTTACTTTTATCCTTCGTTCCTTTCCTTTCGTTTCCTTGTAGGCTCCCCGCACTTGGTTGTTTTTAATTTCCATCTAGATAACATATTTTCTGTATTTCCCCTTTTGTGCTTTTCTTGTTTGTGTATTATTGTGCTTCTTATGTCTTTTCTTCCAGCCTAGTGTAAGGAGATTGTGTGGAGTACATCTATTCAATAAGATTACATTTAGGCTAGGAAAAATCTCTTCAAGATGTGTGATAACACTTTCTATAAATGTAGTAATTTATTCTTTTTTTGACGGGTTAAATGTAGTAATTTATTAAATAGAGAGTGCAAGAAATATTTTATACAAATTAAATTCTGTAATACAATTTCACCAAATCATGCTTCAAATTCTTCTTTCTTGAATCATTTCCCACCTTTTTGATAAGTTGAATTCTCATACATATTATTTTGTTAATTTTATCTTAGTTTTATAGAAAAAATGCATATCAATTTTCACTCTAAAAAATAATTGAAGTTACAATCTTAAATCATATCATTTTATTTAATTAAAACTTAATTCAAAGTTTGATATTTAGATTTAGAAACCAATTATATTAGAATATATAATGAATATCTAAATTTAGATATCAACATTTAATATGATGGGATTTTAATTTTTAAATATAGGTTGAGATTCTAATTATTTTTTAAAATCAAGACTGATATACATTAATCATTTTTTTATTGATATTTGAATGGATTTAATGTGATTTTATGTGATTTTATATGATTTTCATTGTTAGTGTAGAAAAGAACTCAATTATAAAAAATCAGAAAGATTAAAAATTTAGAACACAATTGTCAATTAGTCAAAAGCTAAAGGACGTAATGGAAAGAGAGAAAGTTGAAACTAGGGACTCAGATGAAAAATTAAAAGGTTTCAAGATTAAAGTGAACAAAGGTTGAAAGTAGAGAGACCGAGACTGTCGTTTAGAATTGAAGAAAATTGCTTTTAAAGGTGTCGACACGTCATTTATGATGTGGATCCCTTGGCCAATTTTATGCACTTTCTCGTGGATTTCTATTTTGTTTCCTTTGGAGTGAGTCCCAGTTCTCAATTATAAATGCCTATTCAAGATCACAAGTAGATTTTGAGCAGTTCTTTTAGAGATTTACTTTTATGATTTTTATGCTTTTTAAATAGATATTTACTATGAGTATATATTTTTATAAATAGTTCTCTTCAAATGAAAAACAAGCATCCCTATATAGACATGGAAGAACACTAACTGTCAAATAGAAGGGTTTTCTAATTAGAAAAACAATCTTCTCTTTTTACATGTTAATTTTAATCTTGAGTGCCCCACTAACACTATTCACCCAAATACTTATTTTATTTTAAAATAATTATTAGCTTTATTTTATTTAAATTTTATCCTAAATTAATTGTCATTTTTTAAAGAAATTTTAAGATAAAAATTATTTTTCCCAACTCTGCAATTATCTCTTAACTTTAATAATAATGTTATGATTGAAATGTCATATAAGATTTTAAATTTATAATTATAACATGGTATTAAATAAATATGATATGATATTAAATAAGTGGATATATATAATATCATAAATAGATTTTGAATAAAAAAAATTAGATAAAAAGATGTCATATTATAAGTTTACAATATTACATAGTATTGTATTATGACATTTTCGTAACTTTAATTTTTTTTTTTTTGAACATGAAGAATTATAGGAGAATAGAAAATTCTTAAAGTAGTTGATATATGAGAGTCAAACTTTCAACTTATTAAATCCAAATATTAAAATTTTGAAATGAACTTGAGCATTAAGGTCTAATTCTATTTTAATAACTTTAATTATTCATTCTATCATTAAAATTTTGTATTCATTTTATCTATTTCTCATGAGTACTCTCTCCATTCAAATTTTATAATACTAATTTGTTTTATTGACTTTCTAAACATAAATTTTATATAAAAATTTAATATATTATATAAATAATAATTAAATTTTTTTAATTAAATAAAAATATTCAACAAAAATTATATATATATATATAAAAGGAGAAGAATGTTTTTAATGAATTAAATTACAATACTTAAAGAATTATAATTTAATTAATTAAAAAATCATTCCTTCCTTCCAATCACCTCAAACACTCACTCATAGTGATTAAAATCATCAAAATCATGCAACTCCACATGATTATCATTACAATTTCATCATCATTGTTGTAATCTTGACTCCTTTTTTGTTTAGAAAATGTCAAGAATTTCAAGAATTGATCGATTGCAAAGGGGACAAGACCCTCGGTTCAACCACACCTCCCTTGAACACACCCTGCAAAAGGTGTGTCCACATGGGATAAAGGCCGCACCTTTTTTCCTCCCCATACACACGCAGCACAACCAATCATTCCCCACCGCTCCCCCGCCTCTCTCCTCCACCTCCTCCTCCTTCTCCTCCTCCTTCGCCTCTCCACTGCCGCAGTCCGTCTCCTCCAGCAACCTCATCAACGACACCCTCATCGGCGTCCTGCCTCCCACTGACTCGAAATCAACCGTTCCATTTCTCGTGGGCCTCACAAAATCTCCCTCCGGTTCTTGCGATGCCCGGAAATGTCGTTCTGCTGCTAACGCCTCGGCCAGGTTCATACCCGAGGAAACCGGAACAGTTTCCGTACATCCCGGATCTAATCTGTTGTCTGCCCGGGTTTGAACCGGACTTACCACCGTCGTCACCTGGTGGCTGTCATCTGCCAGCTCTTCGTCGCCGTCTCTGACGCTCATATTACTAGGTTGGGAACTCAAGACAGCGCTGCCACTGCAACAGCCGATCCCTTTAAATCCAAGCCGTTCTTTAAAACTCCTCCGTCTCCTCTCTTCTCCACCTATGCCGTCCATTCGCTCTCTCTCAACCGATTCCTGCAATATCACCCTGAGTTGACTCATCTGAACACAAATTAACAAAATGCAAGAAACACCGAGTCAAGAAATAGACATGGAGGTTGCGTGAGTTTACTGTAAAGAGTTAAAACAATTCCCACCCACCTGTACGCGTGAGTTAAGGACGACAGGAATAATGGAATGGAGAAGAGATGAGATGGGGGCGTTAAAGAAAGCAATGCAGAATTGGTTAAGGGAGGAATAAATGGTGTTTGGGAGTCAGCTCCGGCATTGAAATGTGGGAGCTTTAAATGAGGAGGAGATCGAGCAAAGAGCAGGACAAAATGGAAGAGGAAAAAGGGAGATCAGAGAGGG